CCACAGGGGGCGGTGCCCGGCCGCATTGCAGGCAGAGCCAGACCCTCAGGCATTCAGGAGAGGAAGAGTCCTGAGCCGAGCCGCGAGGAGCTGACCCTGGGACGGGTGCCGGCCAGCGCTTTCCTACCGAGAGCGGCTAACGGGAGCGTGCCCCAGGGCCAGCAGAGCCCCCAGGCCGAGGGCTCCAGGAAGCAGGACTCCGTGCGGCGGTCCAGAGACTGATCGGAGCAGACGGTGGAGAACCCGGGGGGCTAAGCCAGGGCCCACAGCCCCACATTGCATCGTTGGTCCTTGGGGCTGAACTTCCAGCAGGAAACGAGACTCCCCAGCCGGGGCGGCTCCGATCCCAAGGCAAAGCTCCAGGCTTGGGCTCTGCCGGGAGGGAGAGGGGTTGGCCACGCAGCCGCATGACTGATCTGTGTGAGCCGTGTGAGGGGCCCTCCTTGGAATCAGAGCCCCAGAAGTCAGCCGCGAGCGGAGCAGCCCCCTCGCCCGCCAAGCAGGCCAGCCCCAGCGTCTCGGAGCTCATCCTCTGGGCCGTGGCCACCTCCCCGAAATGCCAGGGCCTCTCCCTGGACGCACTGAAGAAGACCGTCACCAAGGCGGGCTACGACGTGGTGAGGAACCGGACCCATTTCCTGCGGGTGCTGAAGGGGCTGGTCTCCAAGGGGCTGCTGAAGCAGATGACTGGGATGGGCGCCGCAGGCTCCTTTCGCGCCGGCAAGAAGAAGAGGGAAGCAAAGAGGAGCAAAGGAGCTGCCAAGAAGAGGAAGGTGCCTGGGACGAGGAAGGCGCCCAACCGTGGGTGCTCCAAAGCCAGCCGGCCCGCCCGCCGGGGGAGGAAACGGCAGGCTGCCAAGTGAGGTGCCGGGGCTCGGCAGGAACCGGTGCTTAATAAAGTGACCCGAGTATTTAAAAGTTCTCCTGTGTCGGGCTGATCCTTTCCGCGGGAGACGGCAAATGGAAACAGCCTGGAACGTCAGGGAGTTGGGAGGCCGGGGCGGACTCACCAGCCCTCTGCGCTAAGGCTCACCGGGCTGGGCCATTGGGTGTGGGGGGAGACCTCTGTGGGATTCCAGGACTGGGGCGTGGCAACTTGGCGGTGCCTTCCCTGCTTCATCATCAGCTAGAGCCCCTCCATGTGCCGGAGCCGGAGGGAACTGGGCTGTTGGCCAGTCGAGCTCTGGCAGCAGAACGTGCACTAGTCACGGTGTCTGCGTGCTCCGGGTCCAAATTAGGGAGGCAGAATAAATCTACGAACGGCAAAGTTCCTCCTGCACTTGGGGGCTCCGGGCTCTTTGCTGAGTGTGTTCAACAGCTGCCGTGTTCCACCCCAGATGTGGCAGCAAGCTCAGGTGACCTGCCAGGGCTCGGGGTGAATGGGATTCTAGGAGCAACTGGTTTGTCTGTCTACATGCTGAGGCCTCCATCCAACCGGGGAAATGAGACCTAAGGCTACACGCACGTTGCAGGGTTCTTATGACACCACAATGCGCCCACCACGGCCCCCAGGGTCACCACCTTCTGCAGCCCACTCAGCAAGCAAAACGACTGATAGGAGTAAGCTCCCTTGGGGTCCCTCCTCTGATTATCACCCTGATCCTCAGCTAAGCCAGGTTCAGAGATCCCTGAGAGCACAGGGTAGTTCCAATCCATAGTCCAGCCTCTCCAACCCGCCCAAGCCAGCAGGTTCTAGGCTCTCCGACCCGCACAAGCTGCTGCGTTCTAGGCTCTCCAACCCGCCCAAGCCAGCAGGTTCTAGGCTCTCCGACCCGCACAAGCTGCTGCGTTCTAGGCTCTCCAACCCGCCCAAGCCAGCAGGTTCTAGGCTCTCCGACCCGCACAAGCTGCTGCGTTCTAGGCTCTCCAACCCGCCCAAGCCAGCAGGTTCTAGGCTCTCCGACCCGCACAAGCTGCTGCGTTCTAGGCTCTCCAACCCGCCCAAGCCAGCAGGTTCTAGGCTCTCCGACCCGCACAAGCTGCTGCGTTCTAGGCTCTCCAACCCGCCCAAGCCAGCAGGTTCTAGGCTCTCCGACCCGCACAAGCTGCTGCGTTCTAGGCTCTCCAACCCGCCCAAGCCAGCAGGTTCTAGGCTCTCCGACCCGCACAAGCTGCTGCGTTCTAGGCTCTCCAACCCGCCCAAGCCAGCAGGTTCTAGGCTCTCCGACCCGCACAAGCTGCTGCGTTCTAGGCTCTCCAACCCGCCCAAGCCAGCAGGTTCTAGGCTCTCCGACCCGCACAAGCTGCTGCGTTCTAGGCTCTCCAACCCGCCCAAGCCAGCAGGTTCTAGGCTCTCCGACCCGCACAAGCTGCTGCGTTCTAGGCTCTCCAACCCGCCCAAGCCAGCAGGTTCTAGGCTCTCCGACCCGCACAAGCTGCTGCGTTCTAGGCTCTCCAACCCGCCCAAGCCAGCAGGTTCTAGGCTCTCCGACCCGCACAAGCTGCTGCGTTCTAGGCTCTCCAACCCGCCCAAGCCAGCAGGTTCTAGGCTCTCCGACCCACACACGCTGTTGCGTTCTAGGCTCTCCAGCCCACACAAGCCAACAGGTTCTAGGCTTTTCAACCCGCCCAAGCCATTGTGTTCTAGGCTCTCCAACCCACCCAAGCCAACAGGTTCTAGGCTCTCTGACCCACACAAGCTGCTGCGTTCTAGGCTTCCCAGCCCACACAAGCCAACAGGTTCTAGGCTTTTCAACCCGCCCAAGCCATTGTGTTCTAGGCTCTCCAACCCACCCAAGCCAACAGGTTCTAGGCTCTCTGACCCACACAAGCTGCTGCGTTCTAGGCTTCCCAGCCCACACAAGCCAACAGGTTCTAGGCTTTTCAACCCGCCCAAGCCATTGTGTTCTAGGCTCTCCGACCCACCCAAGCCAACAGGTTCTAGGCTCTCCGACCCACGCAAGCCACTGTGTTCTAGGCTCTCCAACCCACCCAAGCCAACAGATTCTAGGCTTTTCAACCCGCCCAAGCCACTGGGTTGTAGGCTCTCCGAACCTCCTAAGCCACTGGGTTTTATGCGCTTTAACCCACCCAAGCTATCAGGTTCTAGGGTCTCCAGCCCACCAGATTCTAGGCTCTTCAGCCAGCCATTTGGTGCCAACCCTTCCAAATGAGGTGATTGGGCAACACAGTGGTAGGTAAAATTCATTGTTGGTCAATGCAAAGTAATGCCCATTGGAAAACCAGATCCCAGCTGTAGCTATAAAGCTGCAGTTCCCAACCTTTTCCAGATGGGGACCCATTTTGAAAATTCAGGAAGACTTGGTGACCCGGGGCAATTCAAAAAATGTGTGAATGGCTCCTTAAGAGCCACCTGGGGAGACCTTTTAAAATGGAATGGCCACCCATATTTGGGTCCCGACCCATAGGCTGGGAAGCCCTGCTATGAAGTGATGGGTACTAAATGAGCCGTTACCACTCCAGATAGTCACTGGGGCTAGTTCTTGGAGACCATCCACTCAACGTGCAGCGGGATCAAAAGGGCAAACGGAACGTGGGGAATCATTAAGAATGGGATGGAGAATACGACAGAATTTCCTGTGGCTCCATGTAAATCTTGACTCCTGCATGTGGATCCTAGAACACTAGGACTGGAAGGGACCTCGAGAGTCATCGAGTCCAGTCCCTGCCCTCCCGGCAGGACCCAGCACCGTCTAGAGCATCCCTAATGGACATTTATCCAACCTGCTCTTCAATAGGTTGGATGTGGCACCTCATCTCAAAAATGATCTCTTGGCCTTGGGAAACGTCCCGAAAAGCTGAGGGGTTTGGCTCGGCTGCCGCATGAGGAGCGATGACTGAGACGGGGGCTTCTCAGCTCAGGAGACCGGCGCATGGACGGAGGCGGGCGGGTGCACGCTCGGCTACGTCCCCAGGCCAGTCACACACCGCAGCACGCAGGTGCCTCGCAGGGAAGCCAGTGGGAGCTGGTGTCTGGTGACAAGACCTGGGCCTGCAACGGGCCAGAATTTCCAGCACTTGGCCCCCACTGTCAGACCCGGGTTTTCAGAGGGGCGCTGTTCCCATTGAGGTGCCTGCCTGAAGGCCAGTCCTCAGCACCCTGCGACTCCCGTTATTTCCCAGTGAGCCCCTGTCACGTTACTGGATCTT